ACAGAAAGCACTTAATGATGCCTGCCCCTCCCCCATGTCTGTATTCCTTCAGTAACTTGTCCCCAGTGAGGAGGAGGTGGGGGAGAATGAGCATGTCTAGGGTCAGTTCTCACAGAAGAAGCAGGTTGATTGGACTTTGGAAGGGAAACCTTGGCTGGGCAGGGGAGAGACATGGGTTTCTTCTGGGTATCAGTTGAGTGTTCCTTTTTTAAAAAATTATTTATTTATGTATTTATTTGGTTGCACTGGGTCTTAGTTGCAGTGCTTGGGGTCTTTAGTTGTGGCATGTAGATCTGGTGTCCTGACCAGGGGGATCAACCCTGGGCCTCCTGTGTTGGGAGTAGTAGTCTTAGCCAGTGGACCACCAGGGAAGTCCCCCAGTTGAGTGTCACTCAATGACACCTGGCACCCAGGTGGAGGGAGAGTTGGTCTCTGATCTGTGAAACACGTAGAATAGGCAGGGGACCAACCTGCTGCGTTTCTCACACTGGGTCTGGTGAATTCAGTCACCCAAGGACTGACTCCCCTCCCCCTTAAATCATAGATTTTCTAGGCCTGTCGCTGCCTGCTGCTCCTTAGTCGCTCAGTCGTGTCCGACTCCTTGTGGCCCCATGAACTGTAGCCTGCCAGGCTCCTCTGTCCATTGGGTTTTTCAGGCACGAATACTGAAGTGGGCTGCCATTCCCAGGGTTATCTTCCTGACCCAGGGATTGAACTCACATCTCCTACATTACAGGCAGATTCATTACCCACTGAGCCAATGGGAGATATTTTCTAGGCCTGGTCCTATGAATTTAGTAGGTTTTAGGTTGTATCTTGGTATGAGTAGGTATAGAGAAAGCCCACACTGATATGTGCAGGTTAGGGTACTGCAGCAGCAGAGCTCTGAAGATAAAAGATCTGTCTTGTGAGCCAATATCTCGATACGTACTCGGGCCGTGGTCAAATCCTGATTGGTTTTGGCCAGGTCTCAGCCATGGAGAGTGACAGGGCTTCGTCCAAGAGCGGTTGGCTGTGTGGCCTTGCCGTTGTGCTTAGCCTGTGTGGGTCACACTCCCAGGAGAAGACCTGCTCCAAGTACCTGCCAGGGTCCGACCAGTCCTGCCCGGGACCTGTAGGGAGACAGGTGGCGACAGCGACTGAGCTTCCAGAGGCGGGTCCCAGCCGTTCTCACTCTGCACCGGATGGGGAGGGTGACAGCCGGAAAATGGCAAGGAAAGCCTTCTTTTCCCTGCTGTCTCCCTGAAAAGCAGGTACAGAGGAAGAACCCCAGGGTCCCTCTGGAAGAGCAGGAGCAGCAAAAGTGACCTTATAGGGGCGGAGGTTGGAAAGGCGGGGGACAAGGATCCTTTGTGCTTCAGGCTGGGCTAGTAGCGCATCCTCTTTCATCGAGGGGATGCAGGGAGAGGCGAGGAGCCCATTCTGTCTCAGGCAACTGAAGGGGTAAGAAAGGAATGGGGATTTTCTTTCATCTCTTTCCTATTACGATGGTAATATATGACCCTTATAAAAAATTCACACAGGACGAAAATAGACAGTAGGAAGTGATAGTTCCCTGCAGCCTCACCCCCAGAGATAGCCACTGTTAATGCCATGGTATGTGGAGCATGACCGGCTTGGGCTCAGGGCCCCTGACCTCAGCCCCAGTGACGGATGTCTGTACTTGCTGATTCCCGTCACTCAGGGCTTGGTGGCTTTGTGGCTGGAGTCCATGTATTAATACTTTTCATTGCCCCACCTCCCAGAATCTTATGTACTAAATGGGGCCTAGCCCAGCTTTCAGCAAGTTGACTTGCCCTTGGATGACCTAAAGAGTCAGGCCCAGGGTGGATGTTGGGTAAAGAAGGCAGGGGGGTGAGGGTATTGATGCTTGCTGGTTTGTCTTTCTAGTAAATGTCTCCTCGTGTCCCCAGACACCTCCTCGTGTCCCCAGACACCTCCTCATGCACACCCCATCAGTCTGTCTGTCAGCTCTCTTCTCTGCCCCTCGCCTTTCCTCCCTGCCCCTGCTCATCTTGAGAGCACAGAAACACACACACACCCTCTGGGCACGGCCCTTCGCCCTCCTTGCTTGTGCTACCATATGTCCTGACCCAGCTTCCCAGGGGGAGGCCTCTCAGGTTTGGGAGGGAAACCAATAGCTAGGGCTCACTTTACGTAGTTTACCCAAGTTGTTGCCAGGAAAAGGCCAGCTGCATAGCCCATGATGGGCACCAAGAAGTTAGTCATGATGGATGCTTCCAAAAGGAGCCAACTGGAAATGCCCCTGGCAAGACTTTTTTTTTTAAGTTATAAGGTTTAAACCCACCAACATCATCAATTCCTTGCAGTGACTTAACTCTGGACATTTGAATATATGGGAACTTTCATACAAAAGATCTCCTACCCCTTTGTGTCCACGAGCAGCTCAGGGAGCTGGTGCTGTGGGGTGAGCAGCTGTCAGGGACTGAGGCGTGTGTGGTGCGGTACATGTCTGTGTGTGTGTGTGGTATCGTACATGTGTAGTGTGTGTGTGTGGTGCAGTACATGTGTAGTGTGTGTGGTGTGGTACATGTGTAGTTTGTGTGTGGGGGTGTGGTACATGTGTAGTGTATGCATGGTGTGGTACATGTGTAGTGTGTGTGGTGTGGTACATGTGTAGTGTGTGTGTGTTGTGGTACATGTGTAGTGTGTGTGTGGTGTGGTACATGTATAGTGTGTGTGTGGTGCAGTACATGTGTAGTGTGTGTGTGGTGTGGTACGTGTGTGGTGTGGTACATGTGTAGTGTGTGTGGTGTGGTACATGTGTAGTGTGTGTGGTGTGGTACGTGTGTGTGTGTGGTACATGTGTAATGTGCATGGTGTGGTACATGTGTAGTGTGTGTGTGTGGTGTGGTACATGTGTAGTGTGTGTGTGTGGTGCAGTATATGTGTAGTGTGTGTGGTGCAGTACATGTGTAGTGTGTGTGTGTGTTGTGGTACATGTGTAGTGTGTGTGTGGTGTGGTACGTGTGTGGTGTGGTACATGTGTAGTGTGTGCGTGGTGTGGTACATGTGTAGTGTGTGTGTGTGGTGCGGTACATGTGTAGTGTGTGTGCGTGGTGTGGTACATGTGTGTGTGGTACAGTACATGTGTAGTGTGTGTGGTGCAGTACATGTGTAGTGTGTGTGTGTGTTGTGGTACATGTGTAGTGTGTGTGTGGTGTGGTACGTGTGTGGTGTGGTACATGTGTGTGTGTGTGGGGGTGTGGTACATGTGTAGTGTGTGCATGGTGTGGTACATGTGTAGTGTGTGTGGTGCAGTACATGTGTAGTGTGTGTGTGTGGTGTGGTACGTGTGTAGTGTGTGTGTGTGGTGTGGTACATGTGTAGTGTGTGTATGATGTACGTGTGTGTGTGTGGTATAGTACATGTGTAGTGTGTGTGTGGTGTGGTACATGTGTAGTGTGCGTGGTGTGGTACATGTATAGTGTGTGTGTGTGTGGTGTGGTACATGTGTAGTGTGCGTGGTGTGGTACATGTGTAGTGTGTGTGTGGGGGTGTGGTACATGTGTAGTGTGTGTGTGGGGGTGTGGTACATGTGTAGTGTGGGTGTGGTGCGGTACATGTGTAGTGTGTGTGGTGTGGTACATGTGTAGTGTGTGTGTGGTGTGGTACGTGTGTGTGTGGGGGGGTGTGGTACATGTGTAGTGTGTGTGGTGCAGTACATGTGTAGTGGGTGTGTGTGGTGTGGTACGTGTGTAGTGTGTGTGTGGTGTGTGTATGGTGTACATGTGTAGTGTGTGTGTGTGTGTGGTGTGGTACATGTGTAGTGTGTGTGTGTAGTGTGTGTGTGTGTGTGGTGTGTGTATACTCTAAGGGTCTTTGAGCCCTTCAGTAACCAATGTGACCACCTCCACTGGACTTCATTATGGAATAAAACTTGACTGGCTGGGTCTAGAATTCTGGGGAGTTTTTCCCTCAGAATTTCAAAGGCATGACTCCATATGGTGTCCAGTGTTGCTAGTGAGGACCTGATGCCGCTCTAATTTCTGAATGTGTTATATGGACCTGTGTCCCCTCTGTGGAAGCCACTGGTCTCCTTTTTATACCTGGGGCTCTGAAACCTCAGTGCTCCCCATCACTAGGTCTTTCTCTGTTCACTGTGCTGAGTGCTGGTGGGCGCGTCTGTGCTGGCGCGCTTGGCCTTCGGGAGAACTTCCTTGTATCTCTTTCATGGCTTCTTGCTCACGTTCTCGCTGTGCTCACTGTGTCTGCTTTTTTTAATTAAAGGAGTTTATTTTCAGAGTGGTTTTAGGAAAGTACACAGAGCTCCTGTATATACCCCCACCCCCGCTCCTGCTGTAGTATCCTCTGTTACTAACATCTGTATGGATGTTAACATTAGTGTGGAACATGTATGATTGGTGAGCCAGTAGCAGTACATTGTTATTAATTACAGTCTCCTTCCTGGCTGCTTGTTCTTGGCTGAGTTACCTCACCACGGAGCTTTGACCTCCTGATCTGTAAAATCTCAGGCCTGTTTTGAGCTGGGCATGGAGGGGAGATGAGAACCACCGCCCTCCGCATCCCTTTGTAAGGCATGATCGGTGCCTCCAGATGAGTGAGTGCTCTTTCCTTCCCTGGGCCTCTTGCTTAAGGCCTCTTTATGCCGTCTTGTCTGCTTCTCCATCTTGCAGAGGCGTACCTGGCAGGGCTTTGGGTGAGTGAGGGAGTGAGCGGTGTGTGTGTGTGTGTGTGTGTTTATGCACTAGGCTTCCTGGCCCTGGGCTTCGGGGAGAGCTGTTCTTTCCAGGACTCACTGGTGGCTCAGAGCAGAGCTTAGGCTGTGACCAGTCAGAGGAGATGATGCAGACAGGGGAAAATGCGGGTAGTTGTGTCCGTACCTGGGGCTTGGAGTTGTAAGGGTTCCTCCCAGGCCTGTGGGAGCCTGTGGAGGTGGCTGTTATGACCCCCAAGGCAGGGAGGGGCTCTGGGAGGTCCCTGTGACCGAAGCCCCGACACCCCCTTCTTTCTCACAGGTGGTACAAGCTGCACTCGAAGGCGGGCAAGAAGGAGAAGGAGCGCGGGGAGATCCAGGTGACCATCCAGTTCACGCGCAACAACCTCAGCGCCAGCATGTTCGACCTGTCTGTGAAGGACAAGCCACGGTCCCCCTTCAGTAAGATCAAGGACAAGATGAAAGGCAAGAAGAAGTATGACCTGGAGTCTGCCTCTGCCATCCTCCCCAGCAGCGCCCTGGAAGACCCCGAGCTGGGCAGCCTGGGCAAGATGGGCAAAGCCAAAGGCTTCTTCCTCCGCAACAAGCTGCGCAAGTCCTCGTTGACCCAGTCCAACACCTCGCTGGGCTCGGACAGCACTCTGTCCTCGGCCAGCGGGAGCCTGGCCTACCAGGGCCCCGGCGCCGAGCTGCTCACCCGCTCGCCCAGCCGCAGCAGCTGGCTGTCCTCAGAAGGGGGTGAGCGAGGGGAGTGGGGGGCGGGCTGGCCCCTCGGCTGTAGGGGAGGCCGGGGGGAGCAGGCATCTCACTCCACATGTGCTTCCTTTCCAGGCCGGGACTCTGCACAGTCCCCCAAGTTGCTCACCCACAAACGGACCTACAGTGATGAGGCCAGCCAGATGCGGGCGGCGCCTCCCCGGGCTCTTCTTGACCTTCAGGGCCATCTCGACGGGGCCTCGCGCTCCTCTCTCTGTGTCAACGGGAGCCACGTATACAACGAGGAGCCCCCGGCGCCCCCACGGCATCGCAGTTCCATCTCGGGCCCGTTTCCACCCTCCAGCTCCCTGCATGCTGGCTCTTCCCGGCCCTCCGAGGAGGGGCCACGGTCTGCGGACGACTCCTGGGCCCGAGGCAGCCGCCGCCCCAGCAGCTCTGAGGCAGCGCCTGGACAGGAGGAGCTGAGCTCACAGGCCAGAGTGTTGGCCGCAGGGGCCCGCCGCTCTGGAGAGGAGGAGGGGGCCCGGCCCTCAGAGGGGAGGCCGGTGCAGGTCGCCACCCCCATGGTGGCCTCCTCTGAGGCTGCGGTGGAGAAAGAGGGAGCTCGGAAGGAGGAGCGGAAGCCCCGGATGGGCCTTTTCCACCATCACCACCAGGGGCTGAGTCGGAGTGAGATGGGGCGCCGAGGCTCTCTGGGGGAGAAGGGGGGCCCCACTCTGGGAGCCTCCCCCCATCACTCGTCCAGTGGGGAGGAAAAGGCCAAAAGTAGCTGGTTTGGCTTGAGAGAAGCCAAGGAACCATCCCAGAAACCCAGGTATGTCCTTGGCAAGACCAGCTTTGGTCCCCGGGAAAGATGCTGGGGTGTCTGCACTGAACCCTGGGGCAGGGAGGATGGCACAGATGGGGCCCGGGGGCAGGCTGCTGGGCTCTGGCTTTGCATGGTTAAGCGGGGGAACCCTGTCTCCCTAAGCCAAGGCTTGTTGTCTGCACATGGACACAGGTGAGTTGAAGGGCATGGTGCTCTGGGGCCCTGCCGGCCTCTCTTCCTGAGTTGGCACATCTATCCCCTGAGGAGGGGGAGGAAGAAGACAGAAGCAGGGAAGGCCATTTGTAGGAATTGTTTGCTTCCCAACCTCTACCTCTTGCCTGCTGGCCTCAAGGTCATGAAGCTTTGCCAGGTAGAGAGGCAGGGACTGAGGACTCACTTGAGGCTTCCTCACCCTGTCTGAAGCTAGATGACTTCCCACCAGCTCTCCCAGCTGGCTCTCTGCTCTCTCTGAGGGATGGGAGTTGAGTAATGGATGTGCCCAGTCCTCCCCCATATACTCACCCTGGTTGCTCCCAGGGCTTGGCCAGAGGCTGTGGGCAGCTCCCCTGAAACCTGTGACCTATTCGTGTCTTCGGAGACTCTTGGGCCCCTGGCCCCCTCTGGTGTCTCTTGGTCCTGGGGTAGGGCACGTGCTGATGGTAGCTGCTCTGTTTTGAATATGCTGAGTCCCACCCAGGAGAAGAATGCAGTCCTTCAGCCTGGGCCTGGGACAGAGCCCCTAGCCCCCACCTTAGTCCTTTGGCTTTCTCCCAAGTTGGAGCTGGTGGAGGTTGCTGGGTTGTCCAGCGGGGCTCAGGGAGGGGCTCTGGGCTTCGACCGGGAGCAGGTGTCCCGCCCTCCCAAGGGCTGGGGGTCAGCCCTGGACAGGTGCCTCTGCGACAGCCTCACCCAGTGTGGCAGGGCGGCTGTTACTCCCCGTCAGTGGATATGTGGCCAGAGGTGGAGGGGGGAGATTGGGCACAGTGGTAAAGGGCTAAAAGGTAGGGTGGAGGGAAGGACCCTGAGCCTCTTCCCCAGCAGGGAGGCGTCGACTCCTGAAGTCCCGGTTCTTCTCTTTCCCTGTGAAATTCTGAGTGTGCTCAGGGGAGCAGGGAGAGAGATGCAGGGCCTCTTAGCTTCGAGCTCTGACCGTCTCGCAGCTCTCTCTACAGTCTCAGAGATGAGTATGTGGGGCCATCAGTCTCTGGGTGATGTTTCCCCTACTTAGGAGCAGCCCTACTCACCGGAGCCCGGGGAACTGCTGGCTGCCTGCTGCCTAGGGGAAGGAGCGGGTGGGCCTTTCTCAGATGCCCAGGCTGAGCCAGTGGCCCTGTGACCACTAAGAGATTGTAGATGGTATTGTGGAGGGAGGGGCACAGACCACAGGCCAGTGCTGCTGTCCACGGGATGTCTCTGGGCCTTTTCCAGGGCAGGATGGATGAGGGGACATTTGTCTGTAAGGCAGTTTTTAGGCAAGTGCCGGGCATTGGGCTCAGCGCTCTGCAAACCGTGACTGAGTGATGTGGGGTGGTCCTTGCTGCTGCTTCCTGTTTTCCTTCAGTTTCTCTGTGTCTTCTGATGGCCTTTCAGGCAAGAGAAGTTGGATGACTGATGAGCATAAGGAAGCAGAGGTTTTTGTTCTCCTGGGGTTGAATTCCAAGCTCATCCTCTGCAGGCTGGAGGGCAGATGGGGCTTCCTGCCCTGCCTGGGGCCCGAGTGCTGACAGTGTGCGTCCTGGCAGGTGGGATGGGCGTGACCTGGACTTTGAGCCTTGTCAGTGTCCCTGGCCCAGTGTGCCTTGGAGGAGGGGGGCTGGCCTGGGAGAAACCACCTTTGGTGTCTGCTCAGAGGGCTTGGGGCTACTGAGGAGAGAATAAGAGGTGAGCAGGAAGAACTGGTGGCAGGAAGCCATAAGTTGGACACCTAGAACTGGAGTGACTGAGTGTGGCCGCGAGACCCCCAGGAGAACCTGTCTGCAGGCCCAGAGGTTTGGGTGCCTCTGCCCTGGGCGACCATTGAGGAGTGTGGGGTGTTCCTCACCAGGCAGGGCAGCGGTGCCCTCTAGTGCTCCCACTCGGCACTGAGCCCCCGGAGAGGCCGGAGCGCTGTGCCAGGTGTCCAGAGAAAAGCTGTTGATGTTGAGGAAGGAGCCAGAGCACGAGAGGCCAGGAAGGTGGTCCTCCCGCCCCCCTGCCCTGCCCCTTGTCTGCCAGGTCCCGTGACTGTCACACTAGCCCCCACCCGCGTGTGTGTGTGTGTGTGTGCGTGTGTCGGGGGGAGTGGGTGGTTGAGATCTGGGCCACTGGACTAGGCCCTGCTTACCAGCCCTGTTGTGGGCCATTCACCCTGGGCTGCAGCACAGGCTACTTTAGTGTGTGTTTAGGATCATCATGACCGTGTGTGTAAAACCCACCAGTGCCAAAACAAGTGGTTCCTGTGTCTGTCCCGTTCTCTGTCCCTGATCCTCTTAGAGTGACCTCTTAGGGCACCTCAGGCTCCCGGCCCCTCCCTTCACACTAACCATGGATCTTTGTGCACAGTGGCAGATCAGGTGTTATATAAAAACTTTTTTTTTTTAATTGAGGGTACTCATGGTCAAGCCTAGAGGCATGTGTATTGTGGTGGTCTTTAGCAGTCTCTGCATCACCCCCAGCCCCTCACCAGGTGTGAACAGCGAGGTCTCTATGAACCTGGAGTGTGCGCTGACTGCTGAGAGAACCTGGGGTCTCAGGGGCATTCTCGGTGTAAACGTGTGACTGTGGTGTGTGCCAGTGACTTAGAGGCAATGTGGCCCTAAGTCCTGTTTGTGCCTGTTTTCCTGGCATCGTCCCCTTTACTGTATCAAAAATATTCTGGTTTGGAAGATAACTCTTACGGTCTCTCTGCTTGCAGCATACAGGCCCCCCAGTGCCCACCCCCGCCCACCGGCTCACCTCACTGCCCAGATGAAGGGAGAGGGTGTGTTGTCACATTTCCTGGACATCAGGGTACCTATTAGACAGATGCCAGGAGATGGGTCGTGGGGGCGCTGCCTGAAGGCATGTTGGCTGGGGTGGGAATGCCTGAAAGGATGGCTTTGGCCTTTTCAGGGAGTGTCTGGGGGAGAGCCTCTGTGGATCTCCATGCCCCTTGGGACCGGTGCATGGAAATAACAAGGACACACAGCTCGTCTCAGTCTGAGGGAGAGCTGTCCACCGGTGCAGCCTGGCCCCAGCTGCAGAGGCGTCCTCCTCACGCTGTAGGGAGTCACCCAGCGGCGGCTGTGTAAGAAGAGGGGGCCTGTCAGAGTGAGCAGACGATTGCTATGTTAAGTGTTGGGTTCATCCAATTGCTGTAAGGTTCCTGAAGCAACACTAAGGCCCTGAAGTTTTATTCTCTCAGGCTGGAGGGGCAGAGACCCTTGGACTTCTGATTTCTTTCCCCAGCTTTTGGTCCTGGAGAGGATGAGACAGGATATGTTGACACCTCGGTGCTCGGTGGGGGCGGGAGGAGCAGGGCAGCAGTGTGCGGGGCTGGCACAGTGGGCCCTGTCCTCAGAGCATACCCTGCAACCACAGCCCCACATGGCAACGTGTCTGATCTGTGTCAGATGCAGTGGTAGGGAGGGGCGTTGTTTTTGTTTTTGGCCAGGCTGCACAACTTGGGGGATCTTAGTTCCCTGACTAGATTGAACCTGGGCCCTCTGCAGCAAAAGCGTGGAGTCCGAACCACTGGACCGCAAAGGGATTCCAGGGAGGGGGCTTTTTAGAGTGAGAACTTCCAGAATGTGCACCTGGTGTGGAGCAAGGGGAAGCATGAGGGCAGGGAGGACGTGTGACTGGGTGAGGGGGAGGAACTGGTGGAGTGCTGGCTCTGGGGAGGCTGCCAGCTCAGCGTCGTACCTGGAGCTCGTTCCTCTAGGGAGAGCCATTTGCGGGTTCCACACCAACGGGCTTGGGTGCCCCTCTGGGGGCCAGAGGAGGGAGGGTTTCCAGCCGAGCCTGGGGCTCCCAGCTCTTCCCCTGCCCTCTCCTGCCCTGTGGTTCTGACAGTCCGCCAGATCGCTGCAAGACTGCACGGGTGCGTGGGGCCAGGCCGGGGCCGAGGGATGTGGAGTGAAGCTTGGGGCCATTGAATGTTCGATGGGTCTGCTTCCGCCGTCAGACCCCTCTGTCCGCTTGTCATCAAGGGCACTGGTAAGACATGGCTCAGCTTCTCTCAGCCCTGTTCCTGGGGGCTGAGTCCCGCAGCAGGGTTGGTGCTCCGATGGTGGGGGTGGACTGGGGGTAGGGTCTTCACCACCTGGTGGTGGTACTTTGCTCTCTTGGCCCCTAAGGTAGACATTTCTGGAGGAAGGGAGAGGGGAACTCTGGGCCCAGGATCCTCCTTCTTTCAGTGTCTTTACCATGTCTTGACCGTAGAGGCAGAGCTGTTCTGGAAAGCCCAGGTGGGGTGGGAGAAGACAGGACTTTTTATGCCACCCCCAACCCTTTCCTCCCCACCTGCTGGGAGTTATGACAAGGCAAAAACAGGCTCAGGAGAGTCTCTGGAAGCTGGATTCTTAAGAGAAGCCCAGGGCTTGGGGTTTGACTGTGTCCTGCCTTTGAGACTTGGCTGATAGACTCCAGCCTGTCTGGGAGGCCCTCCTGTGCTGCTGGCTGAACTGGCCTCCTTCCCATCACCTGCCCCTGTGTCTGCAGACGAGCTGGCCCGACCTCTGCCCAGCTCCACGGGACTGCCTCCAACTGGGCCCTGGCTCCCCAGAAGAGTCCTGGCTCCAGACTTCTGGGCCTCTTTCTGTAGGTGCCTCTCCTACCCCCTCCCTCCTTCCTCATGGCCTGACTGTTGAAGCCTGGCCTCTGTGACCTCAGAATTCGCCCCCAGCATTTCCCCGTGGGAAGGAGCTGCTTGAATGGAGAAGATGGACATACAGGAGTTCTTCAGGATGTTTCCATCTGGGCGGCAGGGATCGTGGAATGGGCGTCTTAAGGCTTGGGGGGATGGAAGATGGCACTCAAAATAGCAGGCGAGGCCACTGAGGTCTGGGTCTGACAGGTGGGCTGAGCTGCAAGGCATTGTCAGACTGCTGAAAATGGGGGTGTCAGGCCCCCCTTCCCCTGTGCTGTCGTTCTGGCCTTCTGTCTGTGTCCCGGAGAAGCCGAGAGCTCTCATTTTAGAGTCTGTCCCTTCCCTTTCCCCTCAAGTCAGCTGCGTGCCGTAGATAAGGTGTAAGTGCTCCCCGCAAGGAGACCCTGGAGCGGGCACCTGAAGGCCAGCAAGTGTCTTGGTTAATGTAAGTGTATCAGCAGGGAGTGGATTTCCCAGGGGAGCCAGGGATCTGTGTGGGGGACCCCAGGAGGCCCCTGGTGACATCTAGAGTTGCTGTTGCTGCCACCTCCCAGCCTTGGTCTCCCCCGTGGGGTCACTTCCAAGTCTGACCCGCCAGTGTCCTTGGTGAGAGGCTGCCTGCCGGGTGCCGGGCCAGGTGGACGCCTGGCAGCAGACATCCTCAGCAGTGTCTCATCCTCTTTGGCTTGGTTATGGTACCCCTCCCAGAAGTGAGAAGGCCACAGCAGAAGGTTCTGTCTGGTTGATACCGTGTTGTGTCTGATAACAGCCCCATCGTCACCTTCCATTTCCGCCAGGGCTCAGGAGGACCCAGGCTGTTTCAGGGGCAGAAGGTCAGGCATCGGCTGGGTGCTGTTAATCCTGACTTCGTCCAGCCACGTACCTGCGCCTGGGTTTTCTCTGGTTTGTCTATCCTGTTCCAGCCAGCCAGTGTTTTCTTTTCTCAGTCCATAAAGAGATGTAAAGTGCTTTCTGGTTGGTTCTTCAGATGGCAGTCTCGCATTGAGTAGTTGTCAGCGTGGGCTCATAGCTGGGATCCCACTTGTAAAATGGGAGTTCTGCTCCTCGGGGTTGCTGTGAGGATCAGAGGAGCTCTGTCCAGCATCTTCGTCCTGGGGGGCTGCCTCATCATGTACATGCCGGGGGCTTCCCTCTGTCCCCGGGCCCGCGCCCCTGGGCCCAGCCTGTGTAGCACTGTGGCCCCTCGTCCCCAGGCAGGTGGGGGGTAGGCCATGGGGCTCAGCAGGGGCCTCTGCAGTCTTGGCATTAACCAGGAGGCTCACGGTTTTGTCTCCCTCCACAGCCTGGACGTGTCTCCTCAGGTAGAATCTGACCTGGCTGCGCTGCCTCACCACCACCCCTGCCCCCCCTGTGCTCCGGCCCCCCCCACCGCCCCCCTGCTAAGCACTAACCTTTGTGCAGCCTCCTCCCCTGCCGCTGCCGCTGCCGCTGCCGCCGCCACCCCCGAGGCCACCCCGTCTGGACTCTCGGGTCTCACCAACCCGTTCCTCACCTCCCTGCAGAGCAACCCTTTCTTCGAGGAACTCATAGCCGACATAGCACTAAACTCTCCTTCACCTGCTCCCTCTCTCCCCAGTGCCTCGAGGGCCAACCCCACCCCCCTGGCCTCCCCTGGGAAAGCCCCGCCTGAGTGGGACGACACCTTCAACATCTTTGCTGCCAGCAGGCTGCGTCCAGAGGCCAGGAGTGAGATCCTGGCCCCACCAGGAGCGGGGCTGGAGGCGATTGGGTTGCAAGACCCAGGCCCCGGGGCCATGACAATGAAGGCAGCTGAGCCCCAGGGGGACCCTGGGGGAGGAGAAAGAGGTGGGAGCAGCATGTGGCCGGAGCCCAGAGTTCCTCTGGACTTGGGACTGGACTGTCCGAGCACGAGTGTGGCTGACCCACAGCCCCTAGGGTCAGAAGGGGCCTGTCTGCCCCCCTCGTCAGCCCAGCTGTACCCGGGAGCCTCAACCTCCGGAGCAGACAGGGAGTTGCCGGCCCCAGGAGGGGAAGCAGGGCAGAGTCCGGCAGACAGCGCGACATCTCTCTTTAGCTCCCCAGAAGTGATCAGCGTGTGGGAGAGGCTGCCTGGCCCAGACGGCGCCCCTGAGGCCCACCAGGACGAGGCGACCTGCCGAGGTGGAAGCCAGCCCTTCCACGAGCTCGATACCGTGGATGATTCCTGGCCGTGGGATGTGGTCACCGTTTCTCCTGCGGCGGAGACTACCTCACCGGTCCTGCAGGGAGGGTCGTCTGATGAGCTGCCTCCTCCTCCCCAGATGCAGCCACGGTCACCAGAACCTGTGAGCCCCCAGAGGAGCGGGGGGCTGCCCCCCCTGGAGCCAGACTCAGAGCCCAAGCCCGAGTGGGAGTTAGACCAGGGGCTGCAGCCCCAGACACCGCCTCCCAAGCCACCGCGTCTCTTCACCCCCTCAGATTCCCAGGAGAAGGAGGTGGCGGCAGCAGAGGAAGAGAAGAAGGCAGAGGCGGTGGAGGAGGAGGAGGCGGTAGGGGGGCTGAGTCGCAGGGGGTCAGAGACGGGAGAAGAAGATGTCATCCCAAGTGCACCCGTCGCTGGTCCCCAGGAGGCCGAGCCGGGGGAGGAGGCCCAGAAGCCCGAGCTGGAGTCTGACAGCCATTCCTCTGGAGCCGCGCAGGGTGGGCCAGGCCCAGAAGATCTAGCAGAGGATGCCAGCCCTCCCGTGGTGTCCGGGCCCTGCCTCTCTGTGCCCGCCAGCTGCCCTCAGGGCCCTGCCCCCACACCCCATTACTCAGAGAGCTTGGCTCTTCAGAGTCAGCAGATGTGGGGGACTCCAAAGAGAGAAGACCCTGAGGCCCAGAGCCAGGATCCGGTAGGAGAGGGGCCTGGGCTCCCGTCAGGCAGCCGCCGACAGGCTGACTTACGGCTCTCAGAGGAGGATGCCTTGAACCCCTTCACGCCTCAGGGGAGCCAGGATCCCCCCAGCCTCCCATCCACATCCCCTCCAGGGCCCAGGGCATCTTCCGTCTGCTCTGGTCCAGAAGAGCTGCCCACCCCGCCAGAACCTGCCTCCCCACCACCCCCTCTCCTGCCCGGGGCCAGCCACCGCCACGGGGGCCCCAGCCCTCCGTGTTCTCCCCTGCCTGGAGCCTGGGCCTTGACCTCTTCCCCCCTACCCCCCGGGGAGCCAGCCTCCCCCACTGGGAGCTCCCCCACCCCACTTGGGGAGGACCACGCTGCAGGCACCCCAGCCTCCCCGCTTGCGCTTCTGCCCTTGGAGACACGACCAGCTGAGGAGACACGACCAGCTGAGGAGCCACAGCCCAGTGCCAGGTGAGCAGCCACCGGAAAACACTCTTCAGGAGGAAAGGGGGTAGGGGTGGGCTAGGGCAGAGCAGCCCAAGGACTGAGGTGTTCACATTCCCGCCTCAGCCCCTTTGGGGCTAGGTGAGGGGTTCCTTCACCCCAGAGCTCTGGAGACACGAGCCTTCCATGGTGCTGGCTCGGAGGCTGCTTCCTCTTGGCACCTTGGGCCATCAGGTGCCCCCCATAGGTCAGGAGTTGGGGGATGATGACGATAAGGTGAAGAGGGGAGGCGTGGAATGAGGAGAATGATACAGGCCCGCAGGGGAGCCGCGATGAGAGCTTAGGTTCTCAGCCCAAGGGAAGCTGGCGCAGTTCAGCTTGTCAGATGGGGGCTGTGTCCTCCAAGGCAGGCCTGGGGGAGTAGGTTGTGAAGGCAGACTAGAGGGGAGGGGCTGGTACTGGGGTCAGACAGGAGAGCCAAAATACCTTTAGAGGACAAAAGAAAATCTAAGATGCTCCCTGTGTGTGACCCCCAGAAAAAAGGTTTGCTTTTTTCTGACTCCCCAGGTGCCTCATTGGTTTGCATTTGTGCCTGTCATGGGGTGGTCCCAGTGTGCTTAGGACTGTGCTAAGAGGCAGTGGATGCCTCTGAGGCTGTGGTCACTGTGGCATTGGTCTGTCTGGGAGACTTATGAAGTCGGGACCTCACCAGGTGCCTGCAGAGTGGTGACCAGAGCTGAGTCCTGCAGAGATAGGTCACTGTAGGGAATGGTGCAGCAAAATTCAGAGGGAGTCTAGGACTCTGGGAGAGCTGAGTGAAGAGGTAGGGGTGGGTAGCAGGGGCACAGGCTCTAGCTCTGGCCTCTGGGAGGCCCCCAGCCCACCAGCTCATACCTTTGGTCATCCACATTCACTGAGTGTCCACTGAGTGTCCGCCACTGAACAGAGATGAAAGACACTACTCCTACTGTATTCCCCAGGAGTTCCCAATCCATACTGAAGACAGAAGTGAGCCAGGGAGAGGAGGCCCCAGAGGCCAGTGCCTACTGCTGAGAGGTGGGTGGGAAGGAGTCTGGGCTGCTCCCGACGTTCCGGTGAGAGGTGGTGATGCTGGTCCCAGAGGTGGGAGAGAGGAGGTGATTACAGCTTCCTTGCTCTGATGACAGCATCCTCAGCTGGCGCTGCCACATTCCAGTACCACTTCTAATTATACTCACCACTTTCTGGAAGTTTTATTCTCTTCAGAGTTGGCATCATGTCTGTACTTGGCATGTTCCTTACATCATGATGTGAATGGGCCAAGTAAAGCTGTCCCATTTCTCAGATTAGGAAATGAAGTCTGTGAGAGCTGTGGGGTCCAGGGTTGCTCAGACGTAGCGGACAAGCAGACCGAGGGCTCAGGACTCCAAGCCCCCATTCAGGGTGTTTCTCTGCCCCGCTGTATTCCTCCCCTCCCTTGGCACAGCCCCCCGCTGGCCTGAGGGCTGCCTTTACACCCTCCTCCTCATGTGAACGCCTACATGGGCAGGACGGGCTGGATGTGTTCTTTTCCCTACTGTCTGCCCCCGCCTGGGCTCTCTGCCTCTCCTCCTGGGTTGACACCGAATCTGCAGCCCTGTCCTGAGTGCCAGAGCTGGCTTCTCTGGGGCTGGGTGAGCCTCCCTTCAGTGTAGTCAGGGCCTTGGACTAAGCCATTTTGCTTCCTCCCACTGAATAGTCCACATCCTCTGTGAAGTAAGTGAAAAGTTTGAGAGATGCTCTAGAGGCAGGTGAGTCGATTTGGAAACTAGTGCCTGCACTTTGGGTACCTGTGACAGGTACCGGGAGCTGGGGGAATCTCTGAGGTGGGTCACCCCAGTAAGCATGGGGGGATCAGGAAGGTTTCCTGGAAGAAATGGACCTTGCACAGCCTTGAAATATGAACAGGCGTTAGCAGGCCATCAGGCAGAGGGACAGTGTTCCAGACAGAGGAACAGCTTTTGTAAGAACCTGAAGGGGACGGAGAGCACGTTTTCCTCTGGCTGGAGTGACAGGGTGAGCAGGGGCAGGAGGACAGCTGGGGCCCGTTTGTGGTGGAGAGTGTGTTTTCTTACTTTGATAGGGGCTTCCCTGGTGGCTCAGTGGTAGAGAATCGGCCTGCAGTGCAGGACTGCAGGAGACCGGGGTTCAATCCCTGTGTTGGGAAGATCCCCTGGAGAAGGCCATGGGAACCCACTCCAGTGTTCTTGCCCGGAGAATCCCGTGGACACAGGAGCCTGGTGGGCTCCAGTCCATGGGGTCACAAAGAATCAGACTGAAGCGACTTGGCACACACACACTTTGATAGGGAGCTGCTGGGGAGGGAGACCATCATCCACAGCGGGTGGGGGAGCGGTTGGAGGTGGGCACTTGGGTGTGGCTGGAAAAAGGCTTACCCAGTGCTGGCTTGGAGGGGAGGGGGGATAGTGTGGGAGAAGGCAGCAGAGCCTGATGTTTGTCAAGGCTGAAGCGGAAGGAGGGCGTTAGCGGGCTTCCTAGGTTTCTGGTTGGAGCCATAAGAAGCTAATGGTGCCTGATACTCTCTGCCGGGGAGCACAGGAAAGGGCAGCCAGGCTGGAGGCGAGTGTGGACCCTGAAGGAGCCAGTCTGCAACGGTCTACAGAGGTCTAGAGCTCAGGGCTGAAGTCTGGGCTGGAGATGGAGAGCAGGGGTTGGGGACAGAGCCGAGAGGCAGGCCCTCAACTGAGACTGGAAAGGTGTCAGGTGTCTGGAAACCAGACATAGGTTTTGGGTTTCCAACCACAGAGAAGGAGCAGCCCAAAGGAAGAGTAAGTGAGCCGTGCGAGGGGAGGGCCACAGAGAGGTCAGTGAGTGAGAGCTGAGGGCTCGGCGGCCTCAGCAGGGACGCTTGTGACAGGCCAGTGGGGGCCACTGTCCTCACGGGTTGAGGAGTCGACGAAAGGTGGGAACTTACAGAGAGGATGCAGTCCGCATGCTCTGGAGAGGCTGGTGAGAAGGAAGAGGAGGTGGAGATGACTGAGGGGGATGGCTAGACAAGACAAGCTCAGACAAGCTCGAGGGGGTGTTTCTCAGGCCTGTAGAAATGCTGGTAGCAAGCAACTGGTAGAGTGAGGTAGGCCAGTGACCCAGCACCACAGGTTTGCCTGGCCTTTCCGGTTCTAGCACTAAAAGAGCTACGTGCTGGGAATCCCCCTTCCTGGGAGAAAGTTGCAATAGAGAAGAGGAAGGAGCAGGGAGTTGGGTGGGTGGGGGTTCTGGGATTAAAGACTGGGATTAGGTCCAAAGAAGTCTGTAGGACCGCCTGGGCTGTCTCTGAAGAGGGAGGGGTCTGAGGGAGGGGGGCGGGGAGGGGCGGGGGTGGGAGGCGCAGAGCAGTGAGGGCAAGGGGCCGCCTGTGGCGAGCCCTGCAGGCCCCACAGAGGAGGTGGCCCCTTCTTCCTTGTGCCACGCGTGCTCCCCGTAACGCCACTGCCGCCTGTCTTCACAGTCCCCACCCTGTGAAGCCCCTCAGCACTGCCCCCGCGGAGGGGAGCCCTGACCGGAAGCAGTCCCGCTCCAGTCTGAGCACGGCCCTGAGCAGCGGGCTGGAGAAGCTCAAGACGGTCACCTCCGGCAGCATTCAGCCTGTGGCGCCAGCCCCCCAGGTTGGCCAGACTGCGGACGCCAAGAGGCTGAAGGTGAGGTCCAGCAGGGTGCCTGGGGTTTCAGAGCAGACGTGTGGCGCTCTGAAGAGATGCCAGGCGTCTCGAGGTTTGGGGGCGGGGGAGGCGTGCCAGGCAGGCTGGAGCAAGAAGCAGGCCTGGCCCCTGGCCCCACTTGGCCAGAGCCTTGAAGCCAGTTAGGCTGTCCCTGGCGTTGGGGACAGAGGCAGCTCCGAGGGCCGGGGTTGGGAAACGGGGCTGTGGGTGGGGAGGCGGGTGGCCCCGAGGCTGTTCTGCCCACACTCCCTCCGTCTGGCCTCAGGACTCCGGTGTGCTGGACCAGTCGGCCAAATACTACCACCTGACCCACGACGAGCTCATCGGCCTGCTCCTGCAGCGGGAGCGGGAGCTGAGCCAGCGGGACGAGCACGTGCAGGAGCTGGAGAGCTACATCGACCGGCTGCTGGTGCGGATCATGGAGAGCTCGCCCACGCTGCTGCAGATCCCCCCCGCCCCCCCCAAGTAGCCCCTTCACCCCCATTCCCGGAGGGTTGGCACAGACCTGCGGTCCCACAGGGCTACTCCCTCCCTCCCTCCTGCTGAACTAAGTCCCACCCTGTTGCCCCGTCTCCTCCCTCAGCTGGGGCTGCTGGAAAGGGGGCCGTGTGGACTCCCATTGGCACCGCCAAGTACTGTGGACGACCTGTGTGTCTTTGGGAGCTCTGGGTCTTTCCCACCTGCCTGTTTTCATACCCCTTAGCTATGGGGGCTCCAGGGAATCGGCAAAGAATTTAGCCCTCAAGATGAAACCAGGGTGAGCTCCAATTTGATGTGGTACCTGGGACATGCTTTATTACCCCATTCTTCCACAGCTAAACCCTTGTCCTCTCCACCTCCCTCCAGCCTATGGAGGGCTCCTAGTATTATTGGGGCTGTGGCAGGGACCAAGCTGCCCAGTTGTCTGTGAGTTGTGGGCAACCAGGGTACCTACTCTACAGCCTCACATCCATTCCCCAGGGAGCAGGGAGCCTCATGGTCTAGTCTTTCTCTGCCATGTCCAAGTCTGCTTGTTTCATGAGCGAGTGCAGCATGGATGGAGGGAGAAGACGGAGGCCACTCCCCGCCCTCCTCTTCTGACTTTTGCATCGAGTGAGTGTCACGTGTGAATGTGTGGAGAGCTGGGGCCAGAGTTGGGAAAGAGCCTCCTCACTCACCTCCAGGCTTTGGGTTGCTTATGTTTGGGGATCAAGCCTCCAGCTCTGTTCTCATTGCCTGTCTTGATACCAAAACCCTGCTAGTGCAGGGTTTGAACTTTTGGAAACCAATTAAAATGTGCCTTTTGTGGGTGGGGTCAAAAGCCTCTGGATGTAGACCTCTCCCCCTAATTGGTGTTTCCCCTTTCCTCCTGTTGAGCACATGGGGTTGGATCTCTTGGGAGCCTGGGAGTGGGAAAGGAGGGTAGGGCAGTGCTGCTGCACGCTCTGCCCCTTGCCGTAGAATTGATTCCAGCTAAGGGTCTGGCCAAGCTGCTGCTGCTCCCTCAACCCCCTTGCCATCTCCTCCACCTCCCCAGTTGAGGAGGGTCTTAGGATAAAAACCACATTCTGGAAATGGGAGGTCCCACCCTGCCTATAAACTTAGGAAAAAGCCTCTCCTGCCCTACCATTCATTCACTAGCTGCTGACCAGCCTGTCCCTTCTGCCCCATGTCCTTGCCTGGCTTCACTGCAGTGCACTTTGAAACAAAGTGTCTACCCTTTGACACAGCCTCTGGTTTGCTTGCAGAAGACATGACAGACTTCCCCATGGCATCTGCAGGGAAATCTTTGGTGGCTGGGGGCACTCTGCCTTAGCAAACACTGTGGGGTGAGAAGGTGCTGAAGGGGGATACTTCTGGCCCACTGAAAATGTGAGAGCTCCTCTGTGGCCACCTCTTCATGAGACAGCCTGTGGAGTCACTTGGAAAGCCACGGGAAGGGATGTGCTGTCTGGGTGATGTCTTCCTTCCACCAGGATGAAGCAGAGGCGCCCCACACACGGGGGAAAGCCCCTGTCATGTCATCTACCTTAAGAATCACTTGCCAAAGCCCCTGTCATGTCATCGACCTTAAGAATCACACACATGAGGCGTGTCCATGGGTGCTCAAGACTTTGGTCATGTTTAGGGGGTCACTGAGGGTGTCACATCAGGAGGAGGGGGATTACTTCTCCACTCGATGTTCCTCTGGGTTCTATTTAGTCCCAGTCCTGACCCCAGTCTTCCACTTAGCCTTGGTTGTGGGCTTCCAAAATGCCCAGGGCAGAGATCTCTTTAAAAGAGTTTTGGGTTGAAGCCCAGAGTTCTTGTGGCTGTTTCTGCTCCTTGGCGCAACTTGGAGGAGAGCTGCAGGTGAAGTGGGCAGGGAGCAGGCACAGTACTGCTTTAGCTGTTTGTCTTCCTAGTTGTAAGCCTGTTTATAAAGAGCTTGTTCTTCATGTTTTGAGCACTTTATGATGAATAAAAAATTAACATACTGTAGGTGGCTCTGTTGTGTTACTGTTGATAGGCATATGAAGAGGCTTCTTCAGGAAGAAAGCAGCCTTTGATCAAGATGATGGGGTTCTCAGATGATACTGCCCCTGACCTCAGGGGCAGCAGCACAGTGTTGCCCAGTGGGCTGGGCTGAGTCTTTTCTCATCCCCAGGTTACCCATACTTGTTGAGTAATGTGGGAAATACAGAGGGATTTCAAGACTTGATTCCTACTCTCAAGTCACTTAGTCTAGTAGGGAAGGATGAGATACAGATCCAAGATACAAATGGTTCTTCATGGCCAGCTAGACTCTCCAGAGCTTGTGGTTTAACATGGATGAGGAACTGACTGCTACAGATCATGCAGTGTCCAGAAGGCATGAGCCAACCCTGCACTTCACCATAAGCCTGAGGAGACTCAAAGTTGGTCAGCGGGGAGGGAAGTTCCCAAGGTCAAAACCAAACATTTCTACTGCCCTCTTGGGCCAAACAGGCAGCTCTCCCTCTGTCCTTCCCATAGTCCTCCCCTGGTCTGGCTCACTGACCAGATAATTCAGCTGGGAATCTGCTAGTCTGTTCTGCCCGAGTGTGTTTATTATCCCTGCTGGTGCCTTGCTCTACAGTTGGTGGTACTCTTGCTTAAGGGAAAGTCCTTGTACCTGATGGTTGTTAAGCATCCCCTTCCCCATCCCAATTCTCTTTCTGCCCTGGAATTGGACCCAGAAGAGCTCTTCTGTTGGCCAGAGGAAGAGAAGGCTGCCAGGCTCTGCTGCTTTAACTCTTAGAGCAACAGGATATTTGAGTCTCTGCTTGAGCCCTGTCAGCACTGAGGACTTAGCAATGAATCCCAAAGTCACAACTCCTGCCCTGTGGACCTCACAGAAGAAAAGGCAGATACCCCAAACCATAAATAATTATAAATGCAAGGGCTGCGAAAGGAAGTGCCGGCTGACAGGAACATGTAAGATTTTGCCCAAGCAGGTCGAGGATCGGGAAACGCAATATTTAGGCTGAAGTCATAAAGAGCCGGTGTTAGGCGAAGGCCAAAAGTTAGTATCTTTTGGGTCCATGGTGACGAGCGCCCAGAATGCTACAGGAGCTGAATCAGGGTGACTGGAGAGCAAGAGCCAAGGGACAGCGTGGCGACCGAAGGACCTGCATGAAGATTCTGCAGTGCGATTCTTCGTAAAAAGCTTTCCAAGATTTCCCTACTACGTCTGGAGTCCTTGCCCATCTGGTCCAAGGGTCGGACCCATATCAGTAGTGTCCTCTGGGTTGCAGCTCCAGGGGCGACGCCCACTGCTTCAACTCAAAATTCAGCGAGCGAGGGGTACGAGCAGTACGAGGCAGTACGAGCGAGGGGTCGCCCGACTGACCCCTATTGAGACCTTAAGAGACGTACACGCGCCCTCTTCTCGGACTGCCGACGCCTGCAAAATTAGCGGCGGGAACCCAGACCCAGTCTGAGTCATTGGAACTCTCCGCAGTCTAGGGTTGTCAAGCTCCGAGACAAGAAAAACTACACTCCCCACAACCCTTTGCGCCTTCGGCTTGCTGCGGTAGCTTATGGCCAATCGGGACAGGCAGCTGTGGCGGGGGCCGAGGAGGGACATTTTAAAAGGGCCGGAGATTGCAGGCGTCAGTGGCCATGGCGGATACAGCGACTACAGCATCGGCGGCGGCGGCTAGTGCCGCTAATGCCTCGACCGATGCACCGCCTTTCCAGCTGGGCAAACCCCGCTTCCAGCAGGTGAGGACCGGGCTGTGGCTTGAGGGTCGGTGGGTGGCACAGGCAGGGCGAGCAAACTCCTCTCCAAAAGCCTCTTTAGCCCTAGGGTCTCCGACCCGCGGCCACCAGGGAGCCTGCAGCTACTGCCTGGTGGACCTCGGCCACAGTCACCTTTTTCCCATTGGTCAGCGGGGTGGGCGAGGGCTGATATCTTGTCTCCCTATTGGCCATCGGCGCCGTCATTCCCCAGCCGCCCGCGCCCTCCAGCTCTTCCTGCCAGAGTCGCTCTGTGATTGGACACTGCCCGCCGCGGCCGGGGATCCTAGCCCGGGGATCCGAGCTGCTGCTTCAGGGTCGCTTGGGCAGTGCAGCTGCCCACTCCAGGCGGAAAGTTCGAATCCGGCCCTGGGTGAAAAGTTGGCGTGGTCGAGATGCCTTCTAACTTTTCCCCCGCTTGGTGACCCACATTCTTTTCGAGCTGCCCAGCTCCCAGCTCTCCACCCCAAGCTAGGTCCGCGGTGGGGATGGGTTAGGACCGCCTGCCGAGGGGTGCCCGCCGCCTGGCGACCCCTGTCCTCAACGCTGATGCAGCGAGTCAGCCGGCAGGTGCCTTGTTGGGGATGGAGTGAGGATGTGCGGGGAGAGCCGGGGTGCAGAGGAAACGCTGTGTCATCCCCGGAGCTCGGAGGGTCCGCGTCCCCGGGAGCTTACCCCAGCCCCCTAACCCGCTGCGACCTCCACGAAGCGCTCGTCTCTGTCTGACCCTATATGGCTCTTCGGAGCACGGTGACAGTCGTCCTTTTCCTTCGGACCCTCCTGTCCGCCTGACAGGGTCTCTCTTCCTGTCCCTCGGCCCAGGAGAGAGAGAGTCCGCAGTTCAGACTTACTGCCCGGGCAAGAGCCTGGGAGGGACCGTTCCTACACCGCATACCCGGGTCTCTGCTGCCTCCAGCGCTGAGGAAATGGACTTTGCTAAGAAAAGGGGCAAAGAGACTTGGCTAAAGTGAATAAGGCTTGCCTGGGGTTGGGGGGCGGGGGGAGCTCCACGGAGGTGGATGGAAAGAAGTTTGCAGGAAGAAAGAAAGTTGTACCAATGCCGGTGCGATGGTTGATTGGTTGGTTATTATCATGTTGGTGGGAGAGGGACTGGTTCCAGCAAAGCGATGCACTGAGCTTTGCTAATTAAGGAGCTGCGCTTTTGAGCCTTCTGAGAAAATATCCTCACTGTTTTTAAACAAGACTTTAATTCCTTTAAAAAATAAACCATCTCAGCATGCAAGTATCTAAGGCGAATCTGATGTCATCCTGCCAGTGCAAGGTGCTGCCTGGAATGGCCTGTCGGGGTGCTTGTGCTTGGACTTGAGTGACCCTTCATTAGCTGACCCCTTCCCCACTCCCCAACCCCACATTCTACTAGTTCTTCAAGACTCGGGCCCACCTCCTCTTAAACACTTCCTCCCTTCTTTCCCTTATCTCCTGATGGGACCCCTCCTGCCCAGCTCTTTGGCTACCCCAAGTGGGATCCTCATAAGTCAGCCTTTACTGCAGTCTGCCCTGTGGTCCTCTAATATCCCCACTCTGTGTGATTACTGGGCCCCCTCAACACTGGTGAACACACTCTGGGAGGAGGGGCTGCTCTTGCAGTTCCGCTTGTCTCCATCCTACCCTGAGCTGGGGCTCAGCACATAGTAATGTGCTGAATTAATTTATGGGTTCATTTTTTGCCCAGAAACTGTCCTGGGACAGTCACACACAGATATTTGAGAACCTCCTAGTGGCTCCAAATGACGGAGCCCATTGCTGTTAAATCACTGCTGGAGATGTCAACGCAAAGTTGAGGCTACTCTGTCGAGGCAGCCATTGCTGGTACCTCTTTTTGGCACCACTCCCGAGGGCAGCAAGTGTTCGCTGTATTTGCTTTTGAAGCAGCTCTCCTCCAGCCTAGTGACCTGTGTAAAGCACAGTGCATGTGATATTCATTCATGTTAAGGAACCTGTCTTTCCTCCAGTTCTGCCCCTCCCACACGACTCCCTGGTTGTGCAAGCAGCCCAAACTGCCACCAAGTTGATTGCAAGAAACCCGGAGTCCCCTGTGTACTTGCCTTCCTCTCCTTCACCCTCTAAATACAAACAGGATTTTCATCTCATATAGCTCTTAGATCCACTTGTCTCCACTGCTGGAATCCTAGGCTGAGCTCCCATTCACTGATCTCTTGAGCCACTGCAGAAGCTTCCTGCCAAGTCTCCCTGCTTGCACTCTGGCCCCCTTCCAAACCCTTCCTCTTCGCATGGCAGAGCCCCAGCAGTGCAGGTCTGATCAGGCGATGCTGCACCCTCCCCCAACACACATGTTCTTAAACACCTTCCAGTGGCTTCCCCTGCTTCTGAGGTAAAGACCTCTATTTTGAAGACCCCAAAGGCCTGCATGGCCCACCCCTGCTGCCCTCCGGTCAAACCCCCATCCATTCCCTGGACTCCTGCTTCCAACCACGCTGGCTGCGTTCAGCCCCTTGAACCCTGAGTGGTTCATAATCTAGGGTTCAGTCCCAGAGCCCACACCAGGGACACTGCTCTCAATCCACTAGCCAATAACACCACTTTCTGCAAGACTGGACAGTTTCCTTACTCCTTAGAGTCCCCCAGAACACTTCTTCCTTTCATTTCTCAAGGATCTCTGTGCAGGGGGCAGGGGAAGGAGGAGCTCTGAGCAGTGTCAGAGGGTGGAGAAAGCTTGCTTTGGTGGGCTTTGGTCTGTGAACTTCTTTCTCCCCATAAGATGATGATGCTAGCCAAGCATTGTTCTAACCTTTTCATGTATTGACCAATTTAATTTTCATGACAACCAGGTGAGACAAGTTGAGACAATTATCCTATAAATTCTAGGTGATAAAACTGGCACACAAAGAAACAGATTCAGTGGGCAGTCTGGCTCCAGAGTCTATGTTTTTCTGTTTATCGTCAACTTTTTTATTATGGAGATTTTCAAACATACAAAATTGAGGACAATTGTCAGTGAACTCCTGTGTACCCATCACTCAGCTTCAGCAATTACCAGGGTTAGGCCAGCATCATTTCTATGCCTCCCACCCCC